CCTCCAGGTTGACTTTCTTTCTCAGTGACTCGGAATCTCGTACAAACTGTGATAGGCCATGTTTAGCTGGTGGTGGGCTGCGATCCCCACCGGGACTCTGTGCGCGTTTTCTACTGGGCTTGAGATGGCCGGTCTTGGAACGCGTAACGTGTTGCTCGACATTTGAGGCTGATGGACTCGAGCTGGCATTTTGTTGACGGGTAGAATGTCTAGTCACGGGTGCGGTATAGGTATTAGTAGGGGTGTCGAGGTTTGCTTTGGGTGTTGCTAGATGGTCCAATAAAGATAAATAGCGTGTGAGTAATTGTATGTATTTTCAGTATGCACATACCAGTTGTTGGATCCTTTTTATGTTTCTTGGAAGTATGTGGCTTCGGTGGGGCAGCTGGCGGAGCTGCCTTGCGCTTTCGCCCCTGCTCGTCGTGCATGAACGCAGCAAAGAAGTCCACAGTACACGTTTCCCCGAGTCCTGGGTTAGCTATGTCCTAGTTTGGTTACCCAAAAATTAAGCTCACGAGGAACTTTCCGTGGCCGCCGCTGTACTAGCCAGGCTGGATCGCCAACGATAACGCAAACGATGCGTTTTACCGCTGGGGCAGACAGCGAGCACGATGTCTTATGTAAAACGACATGACTAAAGATATGCGTACAATCCTATTACTACTATCACAACAAACCGTGGTACCTGCTGGATAGCAAGGCCCAATCCCTGCTCTGCCCAGTCCTTGGCCACTCACGCGACATAGGGGTAGTCGATCTGAGAGATTCGCACTCGGTGGTGGGTGATTCGAGATGTGCAGTGCCAGGGGTATGAGTAAACATTGCTAGAGGAGAGGCGTCAAAGGTAGTTGGACGGCGCGACCATTTTGAGCTTACGCGTCGAGGGCGTAGCTTGCCCACCTGCTCGTAGTGATGCATAGTGGTATGCCCCAAGGTTCAAAATGTGGCCTTGAGCGCGACAACGCGAGCACACGACCGTCGCGTTCGAACAATATGTATTACATAAGTACTATGGCACAATTTGAGGGTCGAGTGGAGGAATGTAAGTACTTAAGGGCACCCACAGAAAACATATCTATCAACGGCCATCATGCAGTCATCATCTGATAGTACGCTGCTATCTCTAATTCCCCATCGTACGCCTCGTGTTCAATCATCTGCCTTTCAGCCTAATGCCTCACACAGCCTCCCTCAGCCGTGATCTTCAGACCGATGAGGCCCTCCCACCTTTACTACATTCCCTCCATGAACTACGCAGCTCGGTACTGAGTCTCGCGTCCAACCATGAATATATCTTCTCGGGAAGCCAGACGCAGGATATTTCTGTACGTCATCAGAGCTTTCATCTTTATTCATATTGTGACCCTTGCCAGGTATGGGAGAAGCAGACTTTCACGCTCAAGAGCACGCTTCGGGGACATACAGGCAGTGTATTGGCATTGGAGCTAGCCAAAGAAAAAGATTGGCTGTTCAGTTCCTCTGGTACGCGTCCTTGCCCTATTCTTGTCATCTAAATTGACGTGTTTGCATTGTAGGGGACAGCACCGTCCGGGTATGCTCTCATCTTTTGCTCTAAAACAAACAATCTAAATCATTTCAACAGATCTGGTCCACAGCTGAGCTAACACCTCTCTACGTTCTCGACCCCTACCTCGAGACGGGCGCAGGCGATCTCTTCTCTCTTGCCTGGTCTCCCTCCCTACAAACCATCTACATAGGCTGTCAAAACACTTCATTGCAGTGGTACGACTTCACCTCCTCATCTTTCCTTCTCTCTTCCTCTTCCTCCGAATCTGCATCCTCACCGCGTCTTCCCCCCTCCTCGTCACCCTCCTTAACCGATCTCGCATCTATCCAATTACAAGGATCAGGCACATCCACCCCCTCGACGGTCCCTGCACGCAAGGCCCACAAATTCTTCGACAGCTACCCCCAGTACGAGCGGCGACCCGCGGATATATTCGCGCGGAACCCAGGCTGTGGACCAGGGGGAGGAACCCTGTCTGATCTAGATCACGTACCCCTGCTGAGTGTACCCCCCGCCAACGTCATCGATTCGGCGCACTATGGGTACGTTTACTGCATGGCCATCTTTGAGAGGGCCTCAGGCTCCGACTCCGATGCGTATCAGGGCTTTGTACAGCTCGCGACGGGGAGTGGGGACGAGAATGTCAAGGTCTGTTGGTCTGTTCATGCTCGTGTGCCTTCGTGTCCTGATCGTCCCCTCTGTAGCTATGGAACTGCACCTCCTCCGGCCCAGTCCTCGTGCACGAATTTCCTTGCGCCAACGGTGCCGTGCTTGCGCTCATCGCAGCTGGCGACACGATCTATGCCGGGTGCCAGGACGGGTACGTCAAGGTGCTGGATCTGGAGACCAAGACGCCTGTTAGGACCATCATCGTACAGGAGGGCGTGGATATCCTCTCCATGTCGATGCTCGACTCCGATCTGTATACATGTTCAGCTGATGGATGGATCAAGGTCTGCCATTTACCTTGATCACTCGAGCTCCACTGACTAATGGATCCTCCGCCAGCGCTGGTCTGCGTCTTTCGACTGCACCGCGTCTTGGCGCGGTCATGACGGCATCGTGCTCTCCTCCTTCATTGACTACAACAAGAATGTAAACAAATCACTAAGGCTCGTCACAGGCGGTAATGATAATTATATCAAAGTACAATCCTTCTGTTTTCAGTCGCTCCGTACTTACAATGGATTGATATAGATCTGGGAAGTGGATCCTCCCGCTCCTCGTGAAGAGGTCGGCGGCGTGCTCCCCAGCGTGGGTGGTCAGTCGATTACTGGCATGCTTTTTTCCTCCTTGGCTGTGTACAGCTAATTGAAGCATATATCTAGACACGATGACCTATGCCCTCTCGAAATTTGTCTCCATCCCCAGCGTCAGCTCATCCCCCGCACACACCGAAGACTGCCGACAAGCCGCCATCTGGCTTAAAAAATGTCTAAATCAACTAGGAGCACATACATCGCTCGTGCGTCTGTCTTTCCTTCTTGAACCCACTTATCTTTCCGTCTTCTTCAACCCAACTAACCCCTCCCCTCCCCATACAGCTCCCAACAGGCGAAGGCAAGAACCCCCTCGTCCTCGGCACCTTCCAAGGCACCCTCGCCAAATCCACACCCAAGCCGCGCGTGCTCTTCTACGGGCACTACGACGTCATCCCCGCGCCCGCGGAGGGCTGGGACTCGGACCCCTTCACGCTCACGGGGCGCAACGGCTACCTCTACGGTCGCGGGGTCACGGACGACAAGGGCCCGATCTTGGCGATCGCGTGCGCGGCAGCGGAGTTGCTGTCGCGCCGTGCGCTGGGGTGCGATTTGGTCTTTCTGGTCGAAGGGGAGGAGGAATGTGGAAGTCAGGGGTTCGGGGAGACGGTTAGGAGGTATAAGGTGTGTTTTGTTTCGTCGTGATGCGATTTTGGTGGGTGCCGATGGTGCTTTTTTGAAGGACGCAATTGGGGATATTGATGCGATTTTGGTGAGTAATTCGACGTGGATTGGGGAGGATAAACCATGCATTACGTATGGCTTGAGGGGCGTCGTGCATTGTTCGCTTGAGGTTCGTGGAGGTTCTATTAACTGCTCTCGATCGTCGCTTAAATGGATTCCTGGTTTGATAGATATCGAGCCAATTTCCGGATCTGCACTCCGGTATCGAGGGAGGCGCTGTTGTCGAGCCGATGTTGGACATGTACGTCTGCTTCGCTTGGTGGGATGTGCTCGAGTTTAATGATTGTGGGTAGGGTGCGGCTCCTTTCGTCTCTGACAGATGGACAGCGGAGAGTCCAGATCCCTGGGTTCTGTACGTCGTCCTGTCATTAGGACTAACGTGGCTTAACCTTTGAATTCACAGACGACCATGTGCGTCCACAAACTCAAGAAGAACGTGAGCTGTACAAGCTCCTCGCCGAGGTGACCCAGCGCCCCGCGGCATCGCTTTCCTCTCGATGGCGCGAACCCTCCCTTACACTGCATACGATTGAAATATCTGGTCCTAAGAGTACGTCTACATATCGCCCCCATTATGAGGTGAACCCTCCCTTACACTGCATACGATTGAAATATCTGGTCCTAAGAGTACGTCTACATATCGCCCCCATTATGAGGTGGATCTAACAAATAACTCTGTAGATGCCACCGTCATCCCTGGTCTCGTAAAATCGCAAGTGTCCGTGCGCATTGTCCCGGACCAAGATCTGGACACGATCGTCAAGGCTCTAGTCGCCCACCTCGAGTCGTCCTTCGAGGGGATGCAGTCCCCGAATAAACTAAAGGTACTCATCGCGTCCACATCCGCTGTCATACCGCTGATGTGTCTGCCTAGGTCAAGGTCGAACATAGTGCCGATTGGTGGCTCGGGAACTTGGACGATCATTGGTTCAAGGCCCTGGAGAGCGCAGTACAGGACGTATGGGACATTGCACCCTTGCGTATCCGAGAGGGAGGGGTGAGTTTTGTTCAGTGGCACACTTGGTGGTCATTAAATTTTGATTTCGATCCCTAGTCCATCCCATCCGTCCCGTTCCTCGAGAAGGAGTTTGGCTGCCACGCACTTCACCTCCCGATGGGCCAGAGCTCGGTACGTTGCGTGTTTCATTTCAATCCCAGTTTACTCATCTGTCGTAGGACCAAGCCCACTTGTCTAACGAACGCATATCGTTGGAGAACCTACACAAAGGCAAAGCAGTCGTGGAGAAGTTCCTCCTCAATATCGCGGAGAAGTTTTCCCTGAATGGGTAATAGGTTTGAGGGGCCTTTGCATTTTATTTCTCCGCCTACGCCTTCATGCACCTGACATACCTAATATCACCTCTCTAAGTCCGACGCCCCCCATTCTGGCTTTGGATGCTCTGTAACACCGCCTGTATCGCTTTTGTAATGTTAACTGCTGCTCTCTCATTTGCGTAGAAGAAGCACCTTGTGATCACGTGTGTTCGGCAAATCCTATGATGATCGTGTTTAGGAGTAGATGGATATCCTCCCTCTTAGCTCAGTGGTAGAGCGCATCACTAGTATCGAGCCAATGGTACGCAATGATGAGGTCAGTCGTTCAAGTCGGCTAGAGGGAATACTCTGAATACATATTGGGAAATTGTTTTGTATCGTGTTGATTCAAGAACAATCCATTACAACCCCCATTGCATCATAAGTACCCCCAGACCTAAGGCCCAAAATAATTTCCAACACGTTCACCTGCACCCACCCCTTCTAGAAGGTGAACCAGCGTCCAAATTCTACCGCGAGGATCAAAGCCAAACTTTCTCTGCTTCTGTCAACTCTCTATCCCAAACAAGGAAGAGGCAAAAGAGATATTACGAGTAAATGGCATCAGTTTGCACGGCTCTGAGGTGTGGCGTATGGGGCGACAGATAAGCCAGATAGGTCCGGACAGCTTTGCATGTTGATGATACTAGGAATATGAGAGTGGCGCATTTCTATAAGCATTTATCGGCTCATTCCAACAGTTGAATGCATGATTCTGGGAACCGATGTCGTCGACTGTAACTGTGGTATTTGATGCCAATTCGAAGATGTGTAATTGCCCATCCTTTCATTCCGTATGAAAAAGGATGCCAGTACATTATGGATTTGCAGGTGCCAGTCTCGCGTGATGACCCAAAGATTTCACTTTCGTAGCCAGCCTCCCTTTTCCCAGCTGCACCCTACTCGGTAGACGTCTAGTGCTTTCTGGTTAGCGTCAGTCACGCCTTTCATAATGACTCCGAGCCTCTGGAAGTCGATGGGCTTCAAGATCCAACCATCCATCCCTACCCTCAGAAGCTCGTCGTGTTGCTTTTCAGCAAGAGAAGCCGACACCGCAAATATGGGTATTCTGCCGTTCAGCCGATGAGATAACCTTGTCAGTGGCGCTGGGGATGTGCGCTCGAGTTCTCGAATCTTCTGTGTCGCTTCAAATCCATTGAGGATCGGCATCCTTCAAAGACAAAGACGTGTCAAATCAGGCACTACGGAAGTTAGCAAACACTACTGACTGTAAATCCATCAAGACAACGTCAAACCCTCGATCGGTGAAAACTTTGTCAAAGCCTTCTTGGCCGTTAGTTGTTGTAGCCACTGTGTGACGGTCTAGAACGAGTCGCTTCGCAAGAATTAGTCGATTGATGTCGTTGTCCTACAAGCACAAGAACGACGATTTAGCCTCCTCATTTTTTAACCTGCTCATGTATAACACACCTCGACGATGAGAATCCTCAGATAGGGGTGTTCGTCAGTCGAAATCTCTGGAGGCGGCGAAGTGACAAGAGGAAGATGTATTTGTGACCGCCGTGTCATCATCGTCATGACTTCCGAAGCAAAAGTGTCAACTTTAACTGCTCTGATGGGTGGCGTACTCGTCCCGGCAGGCTCGATTCCTTTCCGAGGGAAGCGAGGTGCGGAGCCTCCAGAACTAGAGCCCACCATGGACTCGATAAAGCTCTCGAGGTCTGACGTACTGCTTGATCTTCGACGGGGATTAGGAAACTTTGCCTGTGAATCTCCCGATAAAACAGAGGCTCGAGAGAGAGAAGGGGAGACTGGATGTGAACATTCGAGTACAAGTGGGATTAGAAAGGAGAACTGGCTCCCCTCGTCCACTTTGGAGTTCACGCGCAGCTGGCCTCCGAGCTGCTCGACGATCCTTGCTACAACAGCGAGGCCGAGTCCTAAGGGAGATTGAATCGACAGGAAGAGGCGCGGAGAAAACATGGACGCACCGAGGCCACCATTCTGCACTGTCGGCTCCAAAGTGCCGACTTGTTCAAGGTCTCGAAAGATGTTCTCGAGCTTTTCAGTGGACATTCCACTGCCAGTGTCTGCTACCGTGATATCGACGACCATCTGATCACCGGTATGTGTTCCCTCCGGCTCGTGAAAAATGGTGCAGCTAACTGTGATAATACCCTTAGTTGTGTATTTCACTATACAACCAAATGAGGAAACAATATGAAATGTCTGAGATACACGCACAGGCATTAGCAGTCAGGTTTTGCACAAGAGTTTGTATTTTCGTGGCATCTCCAAGAACTATGGGGGTGTCTTCCAGTTCTAAGTGAAACTGAAGATTTCGTCGTTCGGCCTCTCTCCGGTACAGAAGGGTAGCCTTTTCGATGGTCTCATGTAAGTCAAAAGGCTCGTTGAAAGACGTCTCCCTTCCGCTTTCTAGTCGAGTCAAATCCTGGCAGGAATGATGAGCAGTCCAAGGAGATTAGACAATGGCATACCAATAGATCGTTAATGGTAAATAGTAGGCTCTGAAAGAAACAATATTAAATTGAAGATTGATCGAGTTCCGACTATCTCTGTGTTCACCTTCGACGCTGCATGAGAGCGACTGAGGTTCTCTCGAGCATCGGCATCCAACGGCCCATCAAGCGCCATCTCTAAATAGCTATCGGGGGAGTCATCAGTACTCGATACAGATATGTAAACTAGAAACCTACTTAATTATATGATTCAGTGGTGTTCGAACTGTTGGAAATGCAGATGAGACAGCCTGAGAGCTGACGAAAGTGTTGTAACTTACCCTCGTGACTGGCATTAGACAGTAAGATTTCCGTTAGTTTCGTGCTCTGCAAGGCGCTTTCCTTCTGCCTCCAGACTTCGATGAACTGGAAGTAACTGCCTTGAACAAAAATAATGCTGTAACACTAGTCGGTACTCGCCTTGCCGTAGACTAACGCAAGTACGCCAGCAGTCTCCAGTTGCTCGTCTGTCCATGCTCGGCTTCGCCCTGCAACAACTTCGGACCAAGACTTGAACGATTTGCGAGGCTCTAGCGAACGCTGGTGCTCGTGCCCATCCTTGTATGGTTTCCCGGCCCATCTGACTTCTCGGGGCTGACCTCTGCGGAGAAAAGCAATGAAGTCCGTCCCATGGCTGGAAAGAGGCACAAGTAGCAATCCAGCGATAATTTGTAAGCCTGAATAGAGCTGTCAGCGAAATGTTGCGTGCGTCGATGACTGATATACAAACCTTGAGTCGTAAGGTTAAGATCGGGGAAATCCTGCATCACTGTCTGTGAAACTTGTATGGTGCTAAAAGATCGTTAATCACACGCTCGGTCGTCGCAGTAAGATACGTACTTGAACTTCTTTAATCTGAGGTACTCGGCCATGATCAGAGTCTCCTGGCCATGCTGGTTGTCTCCGATTATTTTGGCGCCTTCTCCGATGACCAAAATACCAGAATCCGCATCAAACAGCCCCAGAAGATCGTCGGTGTTGCTGACAATGTACCCAGTCTAATAGAAAGAAATGAACAAAATGAAAATGAGGACCCCTTGTCAACGGATACTAACCGCATGTCGATCAGATACCATGCTGTTGATCTACTCAGATGTCAGAAAGCTGAAGCTAGGATGCACGGAGCAAAAACAAACCAGCTTTCGCGTGTGCAATCTTTGTGCGTAACTCAATCGTTCAATATTCCTTGATATCGACTGGCTGAGCAGGCGAAGGATCTGCCTGACAGCAAACGAAACACGCATTCCATGTGAACCATACGAATGGCATGTAATAAGACCCCACAAGGAACCAAATGCCATTATCGACTGAAGAGCGCGGTTATTCATTGTTATGCCGCCCAACAGGTGCTGCGAAGGCTCACAATTGACATTGATGCTTGCACACCCATGTTGGCAAGATCTTTACAAATGCATGTTAGTTGTGCCTTGGTTGAGAGGTGCTAGAATTTACATTTGATGTGTATGTGACTCATCGCCCGAAGGTAACAATATGTCATGTTCTGCAAGTTCTAGTAATAAAGCGACAATGAAAAGATGATCTTCTACTCACAAGTGGGACCTCTAGGTCTGCTTTACTTTTGACGACGATGCGAGCCGTGGTCTGCGATCGATCGTACAAAATGCGCACTTTATCTGTCAAAAATGTTTGAGCGTCTGAAAAAATTAAGGAGGAACACAGCGCATACTGATCGCATACAGGGCTCTCGCCTGACACGGACCGTCAATCTGATATGAATGAGGGGAGAGATGAAAAGCTCACCTGTGCAGGAATATCTGACGCCGGGAAATGCAAACCCCTGTACAGGTCCTTCGTCTGCGTCCAATCCACCAACTCCGCCACAACTTGCCCACTCCACGATTCGTCAAATTGATACACCATCACCCGGTGAAACTCGGTCAGGTCCTTGATGACGCCCACTACGACCTTCAGGAAAAGCTCCAGCGAATCGACGGCGCCCAGCTGCTCGTTTATCTGGCTTAGCACCGCAAACATGTCCATCATAGTGAAGCTGAGATGTTCAGTCCCAGTCGCTGGGCGACGCCGTTGCAATCTCCGGCGTGGTGAGTTGCCTGTAAGGATGGAAGAAGGTGTGGATTTCGTCATCTTGCGTATGCGCTCGAGAGCCGGGATTGGCTTAGAGTGTGGTGTTGTACTCTCCACGATATCTTCCGGAGAAGGAAGCCATTCTTCATCGCCTTCTAGGCCATGCTCAGTCGGCTTTGGTGACACGTATACTTGCTTCGAGACTCGACGATCAAGGCCAAGGTCTAAAGACCCAGATACCGAAGTCCTACAGGGCAGCGGTAGTACAGATCCTTCCACTGCTTGCACAGGAGGATACAAAGGGTTGACCAGGTCTCTCTCCAATTCAAACTCCATTATGATCAAATCAGACATTGGGGATGAGGAGTCGCTGGTGAGATTTGGTCGATGAATGGCGCACCAGCATGTCCAGGAGCATCGCGTAGAATCTGGCCCCGACGTTCCAGTCCCAGGTTCCCCCCACCCTGAGATGAGGAAAACTTGAGGCCCGCTGTTTTCGTCATCATTGGTATCCGTGAGATACGGGATGTGCTCCCATAGCTGATTGGCCTGCGACTGTGGGAGGATGTCCGTGAAGCATTCGAGGCAGAAGAGGTGTCGAGGGGAGAGCCCGAGAAGCTCTGTCGAGTTCTGAGAATAATGAATAGACGCTCATCTTATCCTACCTACTCAGCGCACCTCTGACACTTGACGAACGACCAGAGTATCCTCTGTTTCTTGCACAGCAATCAAAACACCAAAAGCTTGGACTGAACCTGGCGTGCATATAGGCTTCATGA